TGCCCAGCAAGCAGAGCTAGGGCCCCCCGGCCCCCCGGGCCCCCCCCCCCGGCACAGGCATTGCGCCCAGCAAGCAGAGCTTAGTAGAAAAGTTTGGGGACCGCTGATTTACTATGTTTACCATCTTAGTTTAGTGTGCTAGCATGCTACTATTTGCTAACAAGTAGTAAACATAAAGCGCAGCTCTAGTTCAAAATTCAGATATTTTCCTGATGATGCCACTATATGAATACTTACTGAGCAACCAAAGTTTTTACAATTCATCCTGAAGAGAACATGAATGTCTTGACCAAAATTCATGGCAATCCATCAAATAGCTGTTGAGATATTTTCTGAAAACCACAAGTGTGAACATCATGGTGGCACTAGAGTTAATTATCAATCTACTAAATATAGATAGTTCACTGGATAAGCTTTGACCTAAGAGTTAAGGGAAAGTCAATAGATCACCAAAGTCAATAGACAGGGATCATCAATTTTACATTTTTCAAATTTCAGTAGAAAAACAAAACAGTCAATGTCATGGTTTATAGTCTTCATTAAAACATAAGGAGGAAGAGTAAGCAGTTTTTCATAGGCGGCTTCTACTTAACAGTTTGGTTCCCAGCCCACTTCAATTCATTTTCCTGACACTCAAAGTAGATTACGGCTTGTCCCTCAATCTTTAAAAACACCTGTATTAAAATGACAGACAGAAAATAACTTCCTTTATTGAATCAAAAATCAAAAGACCTAAGATTCTTCAGTTTCTTTTCTAACCTTTTCCTTGACCCAACTGTCTATTCCATGAGGCAGGTTATGAGAGGACTGGCAGGGAGTCTCAAAAAGTTTCTAACTCCATATGGTGTCTGTCAACTTATCTCAACTTCAACAGTGACTGGAGGACAAGATCTGAGGTTCTGTCCCCTGTGATCTTCCAATCCAGTTTTGAGCATGGGAGATAGGAAACAAGGATGTTCAGATGCTTAAAGTTAAAAAGACAGACATAACTGTTCTGCATTGCACAAAGACACATAGAAGCACCGTGATGGTATCGCAGCTGGCATTGAGTTCAAAGGCATAAATTGCCTATTTATGTCAAGGAGAGCTTTTAAAAGGAAAAACAAAAACACAGCTAGTGGGTATGAACATATTAATTCAGCTTTTGATAAAATGGAATGGCAGGCTATTTATTATTTAAATGAGAATAAAAAAAAACTCCACCACAAATAAAAGTTTTTCTCAGTAGGGCCGTGTGCGGGCAGGATCCTGCAGGCGGAAATTGCTGGTGTTGCTTTCCACAAACATATACACAACCCAGCATGGGTCTGAATCTCATTCAGGTTCTGCTGAGAGGACAATCTTGCCCACATCTCTATTTCCATCTCACATCTTCACACCAAATACCAATTCTGTGTAGAGCAACCAATACCAGTATACAAGGGTTATTATACAGATAAACAATGAAAGTATTATTCAGGCAACAAAGCCTCTTTCATTGATTGGCCAGTAAGAAAGTGTAATATTAGCCTCTCAGTTTTCCCATTTCTTCAGTACTACACACAGTCTCTGATCCACATCGCCATCTGGCCAGCTGTGTTATGATTATCTGCCAACTCTAACACTACACAGTCTGAACAAACAAAATATCTCATGGTGATACTGTTTCTAAATTAGTCCAAGTGCTTTTACTATGCACACTCAGTTTTCACAGCCACCATATGTGCCTCTACCCATATCTGTACCAGCCGATAATATAAATTATCCAGTTTATTGGCCTGTCTGTAATTCTGTGTGCTAAATTGATGCGGACTTGACCCATAAGTTTAGGGCAAGTGGATAAAAGCGATTAAGATGTTTTTGTGTTTCTCAATAACATTCAAACAGAAAAACAAAATTATGTTCTTTTGATTTCCGTCTAATGTCTTATCATTCAAAGGTTGCCCCGCCACTTTGATGTTACATCCTCAGACAACCACTTAATTCCGCCTCTCCACACTTTTGAACTCAGTTGGAGCACGGGGCGGGGGGGGGGGGGGGGGGGGGGGGGGGGTGTTTTGAGTTTAAAGGAGCGAGTGTGTCAGACAGAGAGACAGAGGGATGGAGACAGACAGAGGCGGAGCCTGAACTTTCAAAGGGAGAGCAACAGAAGTTGAGACGGAAAGAAAGAGCCGTGGATGGATGCACTGCTGATGGCCCTAAATCACAGCATGCCTCTGTGCCTGCTCCGCTGTGTTGACACAACCTCAGCCAACACTCAAGGACACTGTTGACTTCCTCTGGTCATTAACAGATGAAAAATGACTTAATTGAGAGCCAGACCAGCAGGCGTGTGCATTATTTTAAGTGAATATTATAATATAGCTTGAAGAATAATTACTAATGGCTCTCTTTGTTGGCATGTAAAATGGATGAGCATTGGTGCGCTGTGGCTTTTTTAAAGTGGAGCTGCATTCATTAGCTATGGAAATGGGTTTTGGGCCAACTGAATGAGGTGAGGTGGGGGTTCAGCGGTGCATTAGATCTGCCTAACACTAATGGACCTCGCCTTGCAGGCAGAGTAAGTACACTCAGAGACACACTCTCACAGACTAATGAAAGCACACATGCGTGCACAAATGAGCACTTCACATTCTCTGATGGATGTACATTCAAACTCAAAGGACTGTGCATGTGTGTGCTTTGTGTGTATTCGTCCTTACCAGCGATGGATTGTAGAAGGCTGGCCCCAGGGTTGTGTCCCTAGGAGGGGGCTGTTGCTTACGGAGCACACCCAGGACGTCCTCCTCGTAGCCATAAGCCTGGCCCGGGGAAGGAATGGAAGGGAAATCTGACTGACGAACTAGCCGGAGACTTTTTGCCTGCAGCCACTGCTCAGAGAAAAAAAAAGCAGGAGAATAGACAGAGAGAGCAAGAAGTGAAGTCAGGGTTTGCGATAGAGAGGATGCCGTGGCTTACAAAGTAGCTGAGCACTGCCTAGGGCCAATTTAGCGTGAGACTGAGGGAGGGACAGAGACAGAGAGGGAAGGAGCAAGGAGAGGCAAAAGATAAGAAACAATAGAGGGAAATGGAAAAGGATGAAGAAAGAAGGAAAGACACACATAGAGGTGTGGGAATTGGAACGATATCTGGTGGGGGAACAGCAATGATGTCATCTCAGTCAAAATACGTGGCAGTCACTCTACTACCTTGCTATAGCTGGAAGTAAGGTCCATCTGTGTGTGTGTGTGTGTGTGTGTGTGCATACGTGCTATCGAGATAATTACATCTCGCACAGAAGGAGAAGAGCGTAAATATCTAGGGACTCTTTCATGTTTGGTGGTTAAAGTTAAAAATACTCCATTCTCCGTAAGAAGTGAGCTAATCATTGGTATCAGTCTGGATCAGATAAAAGCCCTGAGCTCAGTGTTAACTCAGAGCTTATCTGTGTTTGTATACGCTGGACATAAATTTGACATGGAGAATGGAAAGAGAAACTTGATATCTTCTCTCAGTTCACTGCAAGGCTGAACTTCATGTGTTCCACTATCACTGCTGATGAAGCTGGAGGCTACTGGACAGGCTACTTTATCCAAAATTCAACAGCTTTACTTAATATATCAAGCAAGGCATTAAGTGAGCTAAAGGATAAAAAAGTTGGTGTGTTTTTAGGTGCTTAATCTTAAAGTCTCAACCCGCCTGAGACATTATCTTTCACAGCAAACAGGAGAGAAATTTGGATTTGCAACACCGCAAGGCTCTTCTATGTGTTGAAGTTGATGAATAGTAATGATAAACCTGTCAAGGGGGCTTGCAAAAACCTAGTGTCTGGACAACAAACAGAAAAGGGTGAGAAAAGTTTCAGGCGTTTCCAACACACAGAAGTAAAATGGATACTCTGCTGTTTTCAGGCTTTCATCACTGCTATTGCGTAAGAGCCAAGGTCAGAACGAGGCCTAACTCTGCCCCTGTTACTGCTTCTGAGGACATTATTGGCATATTCAGTCTCATGTCACTAACGTCACCTATGATAACTGAACTTCAGATAATGCCAGCCTGTGGATGGAGGTTCATAGCAGATTTACAGAGGTACAGAGATATACCTGGTCTTCCTGATCCTTGCTGATATTTTATATTTCTGTATTTAAGATGAAGATATCAGTTGAATGGTTAAAACCACGTTAGAGATGCTTACAAGACTCTCCCTCTGTCTGGTGTCTTCATATTTCACTCCTCATTATCGCCATCATTATCATGACTGCTGTGCATACAAGGGGCTTTATTTTGTACAATGTGATAATTGTGAGAATTTTGCACTTATTAAGGACAATTATTGTCATAACTTTCCTTTGTTTTGCCTTCCATGTCCAATGTATGCATTACTGAATGTGACATGTTTTAAAATTTAGTTACAGTTTTTAACAACAGGAGAGTTGTAATTGTTTACACCAAAGTCTAAACAGGTTTTAAAGTAGCAGCCTGTAATTTCGACAGATTGGTGTTGAGTGTCTACAGATGGCAGAGCTGCCAGAGATAAAGGCTAAGGTATTGGCAAGGTACCGTCTGCAAGTATTGGCAGATACCAAGTTTGGACAAGGCGCTGATATTCATATCTTTTGTCTGATAAATGGCACAGATACAGCACATCACACTGCATAGTAGTGAGAAGAGTTTTGCGTCTTACTGAATTTTTATTGTACTGTATATATGAAAATGAAAGTTATTAACTGTTGTGTCGATGTGTGTGTGTGTGTGTGTGTGTGTGTGTGTGTGTGTGTGTGTGTGTGTGTGTGTGTTGCTTACAGGACTGCAGGAGCAAACCCTAAACCAGAAGGAAAAGGGTGAACTCCCATCAGCACAAAGAACTATTTGTTGTATTAGATGACTTTTTGATCCTTTTTTACACATATCTTTTCCCATAATGTTCACAAACAGAACACACATCATATAAAAGCCAACTTACAAGAAAAACATAATAGACTTAAAAAAGCAAATCCATAATAAATTATTGTCATATCATCATCCATACCATTTAACTTTACCATTTTTCTGCCAAGCTTCTCAGCCTGTCCTGCATCCGCTGTCACAGCCCTGAGCGTATTTCCTGAGGCAGGCAGCACGTTGTAGGCACCGGGGCCAGGAACCCCTGATACCACCTCCTCAAAACGCTTGGAGCGGTTCTGAAGACTGCAGCCACCATGGACATTTAGCTGAAGAGATGAGGATTCAATAGAAAGACAAACAAAGAGAGAATGAGACTGCAATCAACAAATATTTGTTCAAGGCTAAGGTACTTTTCTTAACAGATTGTTTAATAATATGCAAACATCATCTTCACTTTGCTCTCATCTTATGCCTTCCTAAAATGTTTAATAGTTTTATATGTTTTAATGGGATGAATGACTTTATACTTCTTGTCATATACATTCCCACTTGAGAATGACTTCAGACTGATCTGCCTCTGCTTTCATGACCCTCTTGTCCTAACAAGGGCCACCCCACCCAGTTTATAGCTCTAGTGTACACTCAGGTCCTGACTTAGCTGTCCATAAAATGGTTGTCTCTAACCCACAGTACCTTAACAGGTGAGGAGTCATACTGTCCAGGTCCTGGTATCCTCTCAGTGGATTTAAATGCTGACTGTCTGTTGGTCAAGGACAGGAATGGAGCATAGCCATCTGCAATAAAGACAAAGCACACAAAAGTAAATTAGGCATTGAGTAGATGAGATGATGTACTTTATGTTAGATTATTTAACTGTACTGATGTCATTAATTGTGTTTTTAACTACAGCTTGTGTACAAAATAATAGGAACACACAAAATATGGGTCTATTTATTGCATGGCCAAGGTGCTGAATTACATTACCTAGTGTATTATTTTGTCCTTCACCTGAATGCTATATTCATAAGCTAGCAATATTAGTTTTGATGTTGTGACATCTTTCCCATAAATTAATATATTAAGTCTTGACTCCATCGCTTACGCTTCCTGCTGGTAGTTTTCAGGTAGTTAGCATTTTATCATATGGCTAGTTAGGCTGATTTTTTATTTTAGATTTTGGCCTACATTTTCTCTAGGTCTAAATCAGGTGGATTTCTTGATTTAAAAGAAAACTTAAGAAGCCTACAATTTAATCCTACCTGATACTTGATATTTGCAGTGGGTGACATCGTACGACCCAGGTCCAACAGTGGACGAGGTGCCGCTTGTCATGAAGGTCACTCTTGGAGCTCGTCCATACATTTTGAACTTACCCTGCCTAAAAACTAAGTGGTAGCTTCACTAAACTTCGTTTGTACAGTACAGACATCACATACCTCTGCTAGTCTGCCCACAGTATAGCCCTCGCTTTACTAATTTATTCTGCCCCAGGTTAAAACATTCCTTTGCTGCTCCTCTGTCTGCGCTGTATCCAGTCTGCGTTACTCTGCGTTACTTGCTTGCGTCGTTGCTTGGATACCACATATTGTTGCACACCGCAGTTACACAGCAACATGGCGTCAGAAAACACACGAGGAAAGAAGAAAATAAAGATGAGGAACCAAACTTAGGCCTACAGTGTCTCCCTTGATATTTTCAACCACCTGTATCACCTGAACATTTAGTAACTCCATTAAATATAGGTGCTGTTATTCAAATTACTGCCTTTGCTCCCGTCTTTGTAAAATCATCTTAAAATTAACTTCCACCTAAGGAACTCTTTTTTAATGAGGATATAATTCATTAATCTGACGTATATTTTAATGGTTAGCGTTGTCAAGGTGCAACCATAATCCTATCCCACCATCTAGTGGGTGAAAATGTGACATAGCAAGTGAAGTTTCCAACCATCCATTTATCTCATTTAAAGAGAAAACCTACTGGATCCTCATATTCCCATGAACAGCAACATGTTTAGCTTGTTTCCGTAGTGACAACAACTCTTCCTGCACTTTGCCTTAAAGGACCACTACTCTTGCCTTACTTCCTTCTGAAGTATTAGCCTGCCACACAGTGTAGTTAAGATTCAGATAATGAAAACTCAGGGGGAAAGCCATTCAAGTAACAAGTGCCTCTCTGGAATTGCAGTGAACTACATCTCTATCTGAACTTCCTGTCATGTCTTATAAGAAGGAGGGTTGGCTGGTTGGCCTGCACATTGGTTTGACAAATGTTAATAATTCCCAAGGGGGACACTGGGCGTCCAGGACAATAATAATAATGTTATATAGCCGACAGCAGAGACAAATATCGTTCTGGAAGGCATTGTTACTGTAGCTAAAATGACAAATTATCATCATCAGTATAACAGGGATATAGCCCACCAGAGCAGTAGATTTGTCCAAAAGCATTCACACCATATGCTCATAGTGGTATACTGTTCCTAGAACTTACATTACATTATCTCACCTGAAAGACTTTTTATTTCTTTGCCAAGCTAATAAGAATAAAAACTGATTTTTATGTTGTTCACTGGAAAACTGTATCATTAATCTATCACTGAAAGTATTTCCAATACCAATGAAAATTCCAGAGGAAGTTGGCATAATATAGTCCACAAATTAACAGCTGTTTTTTTCTACTTTCCTTTGTCATTTTACTCTTTATTTATTTATATATTCATTTAGTATTATTGTTGCTTTTCTGTGAACACACACACACAAAGCAAACAGTGCCATGAAACAGGACATGTAAACATTGGTGCATTGAATGGGGCAAATATTCGTGAGAAAAAGTAAGATGAGCTGGGTCTAAGTAAGTTTCTATCAATATTATCTTTTGGTTTAGACAGCATATAAAGAGAACACTTTTCACATGAAAAGGTGCATAACACACAGTTTCACTGATAGGAGAGGAAACATAGGCAGTATCAGGGTAGAAATGCAGATCGTTATGAGGTTTGTAATTGATTTATGGCTAGAAAAAGTTGGTAGCAAAGACCTGGCGTTTGTTACATTACAACCTACTGAAAAATCTTTTTTGATTTAGACCAGTGGTTTCATTGCTTAGATGAAGACACAGATAGTTAGTGACTTAATGAGAAAGGCACATCAAAACATAATGGTGTTGAAGTAAAACTTGTTTTGATGAGCAGGAAACCAGCACAGACCCATGCAGCCTACTTAGTGATGCAACAGGACTTGATGCTTTCGTTAATGAGTTTATGGGCTGAGAGATATTAGTGAGAAAAGGGAGTCAGATTAACCAAAGGAGGGCAGCAGCGAGCTTCAGATGAGCGTCACCTGCCTCAAATTCACAAGAAGTGGTGGTGGCGTCTTTAATGATAATCGGAAATGAACATGAGAACAAAAGCAAAGTGTTTAAAGAATGGAATGGAAATGGCATTTGTTAATACCCTAAATATATTCACCCCTCGACTCAACTGTGACATTAATTTGTATAACTTAGAAGGTACAGATAAAGGCTATAACTTTCGGTACTGCAGAAACATCCTACTCATAAGTTTGCAAACAAATCATTTAAAACACCAATTGGGATTCATTATGATATCCTCTTCATTATTCCAATACAGTACATAGTGGCTAAAAGTCTTTTGGTCGATCAAACAAAGCAGCAATCAATCAATCAATGTCTGTTTTACTCACTTAATTTCGCCCAAAAGCACGACAACGAGCCCAGTCAGGGCACGGCATGAGGAGTTTACGAGGCGCTCTTGAAGGCAACACGGGTTATCGCCACCATCACAGCCAGTCTCTGTCACCCCCACTCAAGGTGTCACTTAAGGCAGCTAGGTACTCGTTTTACTCTGCGTTCAATTGAACCATTTTGATACACATTCCTGCTTGACATCTCGGGGCCTTTGGTGCAATGAAGGGAATCAGGTTTTTCGTGGTTTTCTTGGTGCTTTCCGCGTCTTTGCTGTGCACAGCCGAAGCGGGCAGGAGCAGGACCAGCAACCAGAACAGCTTCCGACGGGCAGCTAACGGCATCTACCAGACTCTGAGCAGTGTTTTCGGGGAGGACAACATCAGAGGGTTATACAAGGTCAGTGTGGGGAATATAAAGCGGAGGTAACAGCTCGCTTTGTATTAGCGGCCAGCAGGACCAAGCAGCCAAGGCGGTTTTGCTGTCCGAGCATGGCGAACAGGAAACAAGTGCGCCCGGGCCTGGCCAACAATTTCACGGATGCCATTTTGAAAAATTAGCCTTTATCCCATGTTTAATTCGGCTATTAAAGATGTGAAGGTGATACGGCGTTACCATAAACACTACAATGAGTAAAACAAGTTTTACTTTAATGACAACATTTATCAGTGTGTAACAAATTCTCATTTATTGTACTCAGTCCATCAGCGGATTGCATCTGATGTCAGCTCATAGATGACATGTAGCAGCAAAGGTCCAGGCCATAACAGCTGTTTCTTTAGATCAACGTCACCTCCAAATTATCAGAAAAACGCCCTTGTTAGGGAAACACATTATCATGCATTCTTTCATTGGTGCAGCCACACTTCCTGCATTTCGAAATCTAATGTTGTTTCCTGTGTGTAGCCGCCAAACGAAAACCAAACTGACACGTAAGGCTACACTCTTGAGCATCTTGAGCATCGTAACTTGAAAGCCTACGAGTCTCAGTTTATATGATATACTGTTGCATGCAAATTGAGAATGACAGATTAAAGATAAGAAAATAAAGACTATTAAGAGTGGTTGCATACAGTACAACTGACTGTAAAGTAAAGACTGAGATTATCAGCACACATGGAGCTCAGCACATTCCTTATATTAGTCTGATTTTTAAATGCTGTTGACTTCCAAGCAAAATCAATGACCTGATGGGGTGACCCATGTCTGACTTGACTGCAACTAGTTTAGGTATCCCCAGAGCCACAGCCCTGATACTGTATAGTGGCTTACTGGCTAAACAGATTTGAGCATCATTAGTGTCATTAATCAGACTTGAGCCTTTTCAGCCATAACAATTCAAAATGTCTTCTGGTAGGAAGCAGCATGGACTGGTTCCTGTGAATAGTCTGCTTTGACAGCGTAAACAACAAGGCACCTGTTCCTGTAATGGTGTATAGTAGTATAGCTTTTCTTTTTTTTTTTTAACTTATTGCTGTTATATCCACTCCTTAGTTGTCTATCAAAATGAAAAAGAGGGTTGGTTGCTTGGAGAATTGCTAAGCTGTTGTTTGATTTATATCCACATAGGCCATTTTTAGAGTCTAGAGATGTTCCGTTACCATTTTCTTTCCTGATACTGATACAACTTGTGTATTAGCCGATACCAAGTACTTGTCCGATACCATTGCATTAAAAAATATCTACAGTATACTGCTAACCCTGAATGAATGTGATATTATTGCTGTTGTTATCCTGACAATAATATCAGCCATTAAAATTAAAGCCTTGCATACTGTACATGTTGCTTATTTACTGGTGGGACTTTCTGGTGTAACATATTGCCAAATTGCTGACATTTTGGTGCGAGTTTACATTATACATTTTACTATTTACCGGAAATCAATTCCTCTTTGCTGCTCAGTGGCAATAAATTACATGGTATTGGATCAGTGCATAGACTTGCGTACTCTCCAGAACCTGATGCTGTACTTATTTATGTTGTTCAAAAGACTGTAATGTTTTTCCGTTTGTGTCATAACAAGATCTAAAGCTGCTGTGTCACTTCCCCAAATCTGTCAAGTTGTAATGCAGTCCTTTCCTTACTTTAGGCCTCAGAAGACAACATGACTCTCATAGCAGCTATAATGAGAAGCTAACAAAGCTTTGTTCTGCTTAATAGTTGAAATGTGTTGAAATGAATACAAAATGTGGACAATGCTCACAAAACATTTTAGCATACAGGCTAATCTGATAGAGCACACAGAGTGGCTTTCTTATTATTGCTCAACTGTGACTTAACAACACCATAGTCCTCTTCATGTTTTGGTTGGCAGCTCAGTTTAGAGTCATGGTCTTGTTTTCAACAGTTAGTTTTTATACTTCTAAAATGCATCAAAATATTATGTATTCAGGTAAATATTCAATATAGCTAGTTACCACAGCTAAATTGATGTTAGGCAGAATATAAAATCACGTATTTTCTTTCCTTTTTACTATTGGTTTTCACTGTAGGTTTGTTTCCATTACACTGTCCTGAATGATTTATCTGTATATACAGTTTGTCTAGACTAAAAATCTTATGTGACAGTTAAACAGCATCACCCTTCTTTCTTCTTTTTTTTTTTTTTTTTTCTTTCTATAGTTTTTCTCCAAAACAACGGAGCGGTTTGTCCATG